GATGAATAAAAATATTGGGATTTGGAGTTGTTAATATATACTTTATTCTTTTAGATCTGTTCTAATCTTCAAAATAATGAATTCATGGCTTAGACTGTTTTTAAGCTTCAGGTCTAGAATATTAACAGAATAGACTCAAGTTGTATAGGAATTATAAAAATGTTAAGTTTGGTTATCATGGTTTTCCTCATGATATCCCATCCTGCTTCCTCCAGGGTATACTTTCATCTTGCTTTTTTCTTTTACTCAGCCCAAACTTGTGCAAAGCCAATTTCTCTCACACTCTTCACTTTTACTTTTTTGAATAAATTTTACCATTGCTTTTTGCTCATTCCATTCATTTCTTTGAGATGAGAAGCTGGAAAAAATAGGTTTGTGAAATAAGTAGAAAAAAGATTTACAGATAAATTCACTGGCAAGCTTGATTTTTTTTTAACACATTTTATATACATTTATATTTATTATATATAAATAATACATTTCAACCATATAAAGCCACAGCAATTCATTGAATTAGAACCTGAAGGAAAATTTTTAGTATGCAGGTAAAATTTGAAAATAATGCATGACTATAATTGTATACTCTTTACCTTACTGATTTCATACTAACAATTAGCTTTATTCCTAATTATAGCATGATAGGTTCAGAAAAACTTGGATGAGTCCAAATGATCCTTCTTAGTGAATGCTGATACTTTCATTTAATGGTAGGTAAAGTTGATGTGATTTTACTCTGCTGTGTAGTTTTCTTCACTTCTATGAAAGTTTGTAAGAAGTTAAATTTGTTAAAAGAAACACTTCCACATACTTAAATAAGATATTTAAAATTTCTTCTTTCATATTTTCTTTGAATTTGGGCCTACAGTTCTACAATATGGACAAAATAAAATTATATGAGTATTATATAAGAAAATACTTTCCTTTTTTTATCTTAGCAACATAAAACTGCAGCAATCCATAGGATTAGACCTAAAGGAAAAATTATGGTAAATAGGTAAAATTTTAAAATAATGCATGGTTTTAGTTCTCTGTTCTTTTTTTTAAATTCTGTATTCTTTAGCTTATGGACTTCATACTAAACAGTTAGCTTTATTCCTGACAAGTGTAGAAAATACTAATAGTCACTAAAATCTCTTTGGATTTCCTGCAGGATTACATTTTTTGACTATTAAAATTATTGGGATTTTAGAATATGATAATTAAGAGAAATTTTAATTGAGATTGAATGCATTTATAAATAATTTTCATTTTATGGGGCTGGGGATTTAGCTCAGCGGCAAAGCGCCTGCCTGGCAAGCGCAAGGTCGTGAGTTCGGTTCCCGGTACCGGAGAAAAACCAAAAAAAAAAAAAAAAAAAAAAAAAAAAAAGAATAATTTTCATTTTATATAATAGGTCAGTAAGTATATTCTAGAAATACATAAATTATATAACTTTCCTATTGACTAATAATTTTAAAGGTGCTTTTCTTTTATAATTGGCATCAGTTGAACTCTTTGGTTTTTTTGCTGATTAGACTTGTCTCCTCAAGTAATGTGTTGTAAATAAGCATATTTAAATAACAAACAATGATTTGTATTGGAAAAAGTTTTAATATACATTTTATGGGTTAGACTACATTAATAGCTTCCTGTGAGCAGAAGCAGGGGGGCAATTTATAGGTAAAAAGTATTCACATAGACATATATGTAGTGATTTTCTTAGCTATTTTGAATACCTAACCAATTTTTACCCTAAAAAATGAGTAAAATGTACATAAACTATCCACACAATATCATGACTGTACAGTACAGTAACTCACTTTTTCCACCTTAAACTTTGTCTCTGATATGCCCTTCAGAAATGATCATTATTTCTAGTGTCTTTTTTTGCATGGAATATTTCTGGAGGGTATATAAATACATATACCTCTTTTCACATAAATTAAAGCAATATACTCTTCCCTTTTCATTTACTGTATCTGAGTTCAACATGGAAATTGCATTTTAAAATAATTTGCTTATAGTTCTTTTAGATCTTCATGTTACAGTGTATTAAAATCAGTGATTTTAAAACTTTAACAAAAAAATACCCAATTTCATTATATGAATGGAAAAATATAAGATACAGCTACACACTTTTTAAAGTTCTTTTTTAGAGTTTGTAATGACATGTAATGGCAGTGTGTAGATAGCACAGTATAGACTGGAGAAATCTGAATTTAAGGTAGATTTCAAATGCCTATGTTCATAATTGTTTAGCACTTTTTACCATACAGGTTTACTTATTATGTTTAATATATCATGAGTCTTTAATTTTTTATGTTTATCTAACTTACAAGCTTTTCAGGATGATAATTAGGTTAATACTGGTTATGAAGCTTCATAATAGGAATTTTTAGGCCCTATCTAGTAGCTGTGCAGTACTCATTAAGCCCATAACATTTTTGTCTGATAGGTCATTTTTATATTTATATAACTGTAATAAAAATGATTATTTTTTACTTTATAGCTGGAGTTAAATTGCATTAGAAACATTATTAACCTGCTTGATACAATTATTTTGTTTTTAGTATAGATCTTATTTGTTTTTATAGTATATAGAAATTATTTGTTTTTAGTATAGATCTTAAGCCAGACCAACTGGCTTAAAACCTGTGTAAGTCTTAAGTGCTAGCTCAGTCTTATGCAACTCTCTATGTAAATCTCAGTTTCTATACAATGGCAATATTAACAGTACCAGTAAGAATGCTGCAGTGAATATTCTTGTATGGATATCTTAGTTTGTGTGAAGATACTTCCACGGACAGAAATACCGAGACTTGTGCAGCCAGTGGGATCCTGAGAGGGGCAACAGGAGATTAGGAAAATACTATAGACACATACTAAAACGAAAACTGGGACTGGGTGGGACCTGACCTCTCAGATGGAGAGGTAATGACAACCCAGCATGGTCTGCCTCTTTATTTATACACAGCAAAAAGGAGGAAGTGCACACTGAAGTCAAAAGTGCAAGGTCTCAGTGTTTTGCTGAGAACACTGAAAGCAAAACATTCTCAAAGCTATCTGTGATGTAGTTAACAGGGAAGAACACCAAGGCCAGACATCTTCTGGACTGGCCTTGGTGTAACAAGGTTTACGACTTGGTGTAAGTATAAACAACTGGTTTACATGGCTTGCCTCTGGAGCTCCGTGTTCTCGGGGCTGGCCTTGCTTTAGCCCTGAATATGTGGTCAATCTCCAGCTCAGCCGCTCCCCACACAGAAAAAAAATCTGTGAGCCAAAAAGCTTATGCAGTTTAAAATTTAATACACTGCTACAAAAACACTAAAAAGACCATCCCATTTTTCATTTTCACTAACTGTGTAACAGTGCCATGTATCCTTTACATATGAAACATCCACTGAATTTTTGCTTTTCCTATTCCTATCTTTGAATGTTAACCTTCTCCAAGTCTGTTTTACCTCGCTATTAAATGTGGTGATAGCTTAGACATTGGAATAATATGCTAGTAACTCAAGCAGTATTTATATTTTTCTCTTAATAATTGCTCATTTTTATGTAGGCTATATAGTGTTAATACATACCATTTATAAGACAGAAACTCCTTGAGTCTAGGTTACCTATGTATTTTTAAATATTTATCAGTTTTAAATATTAAAATTTCAGTTAATCAAAATTTTTCAAATCTCACTAGTTTAGCCATGTACTTTAATTTTCATTATAAACAGAAAACTGTTTTGCTGTTATTTTATATTAGTATGTTTTTATCCCTTTGCATGTACAAATATACTCTAATATTTAGTACCTTTTGGATGCCTTGGTTTGTAATTCCAATATTCATTGTCATTACCACTACATAGGCGATATATGTAGAAAATATAAATAGTACAGACTCAATCCATAACCTTGAGGAGACTCAATCCATAACCTTGAGGAGAAATATTGTTTCACTTTACTTTCTTAATATTTGACTCTTCTAAAAAGAAAATAAAAGCAAATTGTATTTAAGTTTTATTATCATTTCCTTTCCATTTGAAATCTGTTGCTGTTTGTTTGTTTGTTTGTTTGTTTTTTCCGGTACTGGGAATCGAACTCATGACCTTGCGCTTGCCAGGCAGGCACTGTGCTGCTGAGCTAAATCCCCAGCCCCTTCTGTTGCTTTTTGTATTCTTATTTTTTGGTGCTGAGAATTGAATTCAGGGCTTTACATGTACTAAGCACATTTTCTACTACTGAGCTACACCTGCATCGTCAAATCTGTTACTTTTTGGTGAAACACTCTTTGAGTCATAAATATCCTTAAGATTTATGAAAATAAGTTAAAGTGCATTCTAATGAAATACAGAAAACTAAAATATGGATGTTGGTATGCCATACCTGTCCAGCCATGTTTGGATTTTAATGAAAATCCAGCATGACACATTTGACACATAAGACCTTTTTGTGTTCAGTTTATATTGTAATAAGTTACTCAGTTTTCTGTGTTTTTAAAGAGTGGTAAAATTTATCTGGTTATTTGACTTGCAGAGCTTTAGGTAGCTAGATGGCATGTTTTGAAGCATTTATCCCTCATCTTCCTTTTTTTTTTTTTTTTTTTTTTTGATTTTTCTCCAGTACTGGGAACCGAACTCACGACCTTGCGCTTGCCAAGCAGGCGCTTTTGCCGCTGAGCTAAATCCCCAGCCCCACCCTCATCTTCCAATTGCTGTGCTTTTGACTAAGAAATTTATTTTAGATCTGTAGCTTGTACATTTATCAAATTGTTAAAAAGAACATTCTTGATTATGTTATTGTAAAATGCTATAAAAATTACACATTGTAAATCACCTGCAATAGGGTCTGGCTCCTTTGAGGACTCAGTAAGGAACAGACATTGTTTTTATTGTGCATACTAATATTAATAGCAATGTGGAATTTATAGTAAATGTAGAACCTTGTGATGTGTGCACATGGACCCCCAGAAAAGCTTAATGTTGGAACTCTGTAACCCTGATTAAGCTTTAACCTCTTTTTTTTAATAGAATCCCAAAACAAAAGAGCAGATTGAAAATCTGTTACGGAATGGGATGAATAAGGAGTTGAGAGATCGCCTTTGTTGCCGAATGACTTTTGGGACTGCAGGACTTCGTTCTGCCATGGGAGCAGGATTTTGCTATATTAATGATCTTACAGTAATACAGTCAACACAGGTAAATATTATAAACTATTATATGTGTGATTTTTTTTCACTGTTTATTTTGCTGTATTAGTTAGGCTAGTGCCTTTGTTTTCTTTTTTTTGTTCAGGAAAGTATTCTTGTATTAATAAAAAATGTTGACCAAATTCTGACTTTTGAACTTGCCTGAGATTTATCTTAAAAGTCATTTACATATCTTCAACGTCACAGGCTAATTCATTGATCATTAGTTATTTTAGTTGCCATTGTCAACTTTTTGAGCATGCTACTTTTAGAAAGAAGACAGTTACACATGTTGGTATATGGCTATTCATAAAGGTTAACCAGAGTATTTGGCAAATTTAGTTGAAAGTATTTCATTTAAACATGGTTTTCCATATCCATTTGAGAATTCTTTTAATACAATTATGTAATATGATACAATTTATTTTCTTTTCATTTTTATGCACCAGATTTTAGAAACAAATTGCTTTTCTTCCCAGTGAATCATCCTCATGTTTCAAGAAACTATACTTTTGAGGCCAGTAATGCATTTAGCATATAAAAATAATCCTGGTTTATAGAATACCTTAGTGGACGTAACTCTAATCAATACTACCAAACAGTAAATCATCTTTAGCCTTGTTCTAAGAGCATCTCTAAAGCCAAGGGTGAATGCAAGCGATAGAGGAGATGAAATTAAAAGATGACTGAGATAGGTAGATACATGTCACCTTTCCTACCTACTCCCTCACCACCTCCTTTCTAGTCCTCAACCAGAAATGCATCTAGTCCAGTCCTTTTATGTATTCTGTTTCTTCATAAGCAAAGCCAGATAGAATCTGATTCTTAAACTCAACCCTTTCAAACTCTAGATATAAAGGAATAGCTAGAGATTAGATGGATTCTTATGGCAGACAATAATATGAGGCTCTGTCAGCTTTTAGGTTTTTTTTTTTTTTTGAGACAGGATTTCACTATGCAGTTCAGCCTGGCCTTAAACTCATTTTGTAGCCCAGGCAATCCTCCTGCCTCAACCTCCTGGGTGCTAGGATTACAAGCATGCACTACCACGCCCAGAAGGATAACATTATTATTAGAATATGTTTGTGAAACTAACCTACTTGGGATGTATTAATCTCTGTCTTTCTATCTGTCATATAGAGTAGGTTGGGAGAAATAATTACACTTGAATGACTCATGCCCTGGAAGTGACTGGGGCCTTGTTTGATGCTGCTTCATCCTTAATAGTGCCTCCCATTAGAGTAGATCTTCAGTAAGTCAGAATAACTTAGTTCTAGTTACATGAATGTCCTTGGGTATTTTATTACTTTGAGCTTTACATGGACATTCCTATTCTGTGTCCTCATTTTTAAAGGAAATATTAAAAGACAGAAAAAAATAATACTTGCATTTGTTTCTTGTCAGGGTGTGATAAGGATTAAATTTCCCATCTCATTTTGCAGAAGTAATTCTAAATAACTGTAACACTATGAACTGTTATTTTTAGAAGTGAAAATACTTATTAAAGTTAGAAAATCATTCCCAAGATAGTTTTATCATTTTTATGTTTTCAAATACTTCTTTTTATTTTGTGTCACCTTTGACTACAAATTTTCATAGTCTATGCTTTTTTTTTTTTTTTTGACTTGTGAGATTTTAAAACTAAGGAATTATAAATAGTACCACCATCTTAAGAAGGGTTCCAGTGAAATACTATGTTGCTGATTAACCATGTTTGTGTCCTAAGTAGATCAGATCTCTTGGTTAGCTTCAATCTTAGGATTTAGCAAGAGTTGGAATTCTGCTCTCTGGAGCCTCAAAACAAGAAACAATTTCTTTTGGTTCTTCTAACAATTTTTTTTTTTTTAGTTTACTGACTCTTACATCTCATCTTTTTTCCTCTCATATTTTATTTATTGTATGGGTTTAATGGTTACCAAGTTGATGCTTCTGTATTATTAAAATGTGTCCGAATATTCAGGAAATATTTATCATCTCATGTTTGTGGATTGCATAGTATTGCTCCCATATTAGCAAACGTGAGCGCAAAGGCAGAAGCCAGTTCCTGAGAGCCCATAAACTGAATACAAAACATAAAGAGATTTTAACTATTATAAAATGCAAGTATTCATCAGGAAATAGCTGATCTTTTGTGTTTATTTGCTTCAGGGGATGTACAAATACCTTGAGAGATGTTTCTCAGACTTTAAGCAGAGAGGCCTTGTTGTCGGGTATGACACTCGTGGTCAAGTAACCAGCAGTTGTAGCAGCCAGAGGTACAGTATTAATTGTTTTAAAAATTAAATTGGATTAGAATAAAACATTATAATTTTTTTTTTTTGCCAGTAGTAGTATTTCTGAAGCAGGAGACTACCAAATAAAAATGTATTAACATGGTAGTGTTTATTTTAGAGCTGAAACAGAAAAAAAGTATATCAAAGATAAGCTTCAGATTTTACAAAAAGAAGTAAAATCTTAAAATATTTAGAGTTGACATTTAGAATGATATCATAGCTTATAAGTTTAATATATTGATAAAGGGACTGGATAAGAATAATTGTGTAGTTTATATTATCTCATTTTATCCTATTAAGATTTAATAAATTTATTATTTATTTTCATAAATAATCATGATATAGCAGTACTTTTTCAGGAAGTATACATGTTGCACTTATTTTATTTCATTTTCTACCATTCTGTTGCATTTTGCAGGTTTTATGTCTTAATAAACGAGCCATCAAAATATGATGACAGAAAAAGAAAAATTATAGCATCCATCAGTTCTGTTCATTGTTAAGGTCCATTTAGTTTAGGGGTGTGTGTGTGTGTGTGTGTGTGTGTGTGTGTTGCTAGGGATGAACCGAGAGCCTTGCACATGCTAACAGGTGCTCTACCACTAAGCTAACTTCCTTTTTTAATAAATATTATTTATTTAAATTTTTAAGTTTTAGCATAAAGTTTAAAAACTAAGTGATTATAAGAAATGGTTGTATTAAGCTATGTAAACTCAGATTAATTATATGAAATGTTTATTATGTGGAAGTTTTTTTTTAAAGCATGGTAAGCTAAGGACTAAGGGAAATCTTTTAAATCTTTTTTTAGGCTTGCTAAACTCACAGCTGCAGTCTTACTGGCTAAAGATGTTCCTGTGTACCTTTTTTCAAGATATGTTCCTACACCGTTTGTAGTAAGTGTGTTGTGTTAGTAATTGTTCAGTTTGATGCTCTTGACAAGATTTCTTAACTATAATTTAAATCCTTGTCACAGATGTAGTTCTGTATTAATGACATGAGGAACCAAACAAAGGAAAAATTTTTTGCTTTGAATTTATTTTCACTCTTTGAACCACCTAAGAATTTGATCTCAAAAAGGTGACAAGCCCACAGTTGCGTTGGGATATTTTAATGCTCTTCTTTCAGAAATTGATAAGACAGACAAAAATGATTAGCGAGATATGACCATACTGTTAACAGGTTTAATCTGTTGAGCATGTGTAAAGACCCTATATTCTGTGATGGTGGGATACACGTTGTTGTTAAGCAGAGTTACAAAGGAAGTCTCAACAAATGCTAGAGAACTGTTTATCATGCTATATTCTTAGATTCCAATGCAATAAGATTATAAATTAAACAGCCTGAAAAACCCCTCTTGTTTAGAATCTTAAAACACATTGATAAGTAATTTGTATTTACTCTTTTTTTTTTTTCCGGTACCGGGAATTGAACTTACGACCTCGCGCTTGCCAGGCAGGCACTGTGCTGCTGAGCTAAGTCCCCAGGCCCCTTAATTTATGGATTAAGGAAGATACAATTGAGGATGAGAAACTACAGATAGCCCTTTCTTTGAGTGGTAGTGCAAAGGGATAAAGGCAGCTGGGAAGCTAAAAATCCATGCAAGGTGATCTTCAGAGTCAATGAGAAAGATTATAAATGTTCCATGACCTTTAAAATATCTTGACAGAACATTAAAAACTCTCTTACTAGTGGTTGAAAATGTGAAGAAAGAGAAAAATAGTAAAAGTATTAAGTACATTACAATATAAACCATTAGAAACATTGAGTACTAAAGTTCTTTCTTGGGCTGGGGACATAACTCAGTGGCACAAGCGACTGCCTGGCAAGAACAAAGTTCTGAGTTCAATTCCTAGTACCCCCCCCCAAAAAAAAGTTTTCTTTGTTAAAAAGAAAACTAGCCAAGACTATGAAGTGTTTGCTTCTTGTCATGTAACTTTCAATGAGTCAGCATTTTTACTATGCCTTTGTAACTTATTATATACTTTTTGTAAGTTTGAATCAGCTTCCAATATTTCATCTTTTACTTCCTTTTTTTTCTTTTTTTTTCTTTTTTTTCTGTCTTTTTGAGACAGGGTCTTGCTGTGCAGTTCAGGCTGTCCTTCAGCTCATTTTGTAGCCTGGGCTGGTCTCAAACTCTCAATGATCCTCCTGCCTCAGCCTCCTGAGTGTTGGGGTTACAGGCATGCGCCACCACGCCGGGCTCATCCTTTACTTTCATTATACTGAAATATCTCTGAGAGATACTTAATGTGAAGTTTTGCTAATATCACTTCCTCTTAGACTTTTTCAACCTTTTCATCACAACCCCATTCTTCATTTCATCCAAATGTTTGTCTTCTTCGCGTCCCTCAGGTTGCATATCTAAAGTCTTTTGAATGGTGACAGTGCTGGTGTTCCCAAATGGGTTGTCTATAACTCATTTATGTTCAGTGTAATTTTCTTTTCACCATTATCACTTTTTAAAAATTTCTTTGCTACATTTTGATCTTTGTCAGCCAATTCCCGCTTTCAATTATCCATTTTTCTAAAATGTCACATGGGTTTACCACTGGGAGATAAGGAGACAGCACAGCCACCTGTCTGTGTAAGAGCTGACTAATAATACACAGTGGCCAACCATTGAGAGACTTTAAAAGAATGACATAATGGGTCACTGACTATGATAGATCCATTATACATGTAATAATTTGTGGACTGAAGAGCTGGCAACCACATTTGTACTTGATACAATTATTCATGGTTAATGTTACCATGGTAACAGAATCTTGAAAATGTTAGGAGACTCATGCTATTTAACAAAAATGTGGCAATAGAAATTTTTGTATATTGGAACTGTGCAATGCAAGGACTGTTTGCATTTAAAACTGAACAATATGAAAACAGTAGCAAAAATTTTGGGATAGAACTGAGCAATACTTAAAGGGAAGTTTATAGCTTTACTGAATATATTAGAGAGAAAGATTAGAAAACAGTGAGCTAAGCTTTAACTTAATTTGTTCATGCTAAAACAGATAAAATCTAAATTAAGAAAATAATGAAATCATAAAAAAGATAAGAAAAAAATCAAGTAAAAGAATATAAAAAAGATACAAAAACAAAGTAAACAAAAAAATCAAGTAAACAGAAAATAAAAAAGATACAAAAACAAAGTTAGGTTTCTGAAGGACTAAGAAAATAAATGGCCCTGGAAAAGGTAGTCAAGAAACAAGGAAGGCACAAATAAAAAAGTTAAAAGGAGGGCATAATAAATAGAGATTTTAAAAACCACAGTATTCTGAACAACATAACGCAAATAAATGTACAACTCAGATGAATTTGCCAGTTTCCTAGAAGAGTACTTGATGCATCAAAACTGATAAGAAATTTTAAAAATCCAAATAGACCTGTTGTCATTAAATAAGTTGAATTAGTATTTTTTCAGAAAATACTCTCAAATTTAAAATACCAGGTCTAGGTGATTTTATAGGCTAGTTTTACCAAATATTTAAGGAATAATAATGTCTCTATAAGCTATTCTAGTCATTTATTGGAAATATATTGAAGGAATTCCCAAAATATTAGCCCTAACAGATGATAGACACCAAGGAAGATTCCAGAAGTCTAGACCATCTCTATAAGATTCTTCCATAGAGTTGCCAGTTCCAGCTATCATTCCCGCTATGTTGACTTTTCTCTCTTATGCAGATAGATTTACTCTAACTGGTAGGGAAGATACTTTTAGTAATCCTAGATTCATACCCTATTATCACTGTCACTTCCAAGTCAAAGGCAGTCTGCTTGCCTAACTGTAGCTGGAATATCTAGGAGAAAGATTCTAATCAGGCTTGGTTTATGAGACAGTTTCTATTCAAGGGAGTAATAGGTTACTGTGGTCAGAACTGGGTCACGTTCATACCCCTCACCATTGTCAGGAGAGAAGTTAGGTGGAATGGTAGAAGCTGGAAAAGAAACGTCCTAAGGGCACAAATAATAATTGCTACAGAAAAAAAGGAAATTCAACCTGAGAATTAAATGTAGAAGGTGTGACCATTTATATAGCAGAAACCACAAAGTATACATAAAAATCCTCAAACTGGAAAGCAAGAAACCTACATTCTACCTGTGAATTCTATGAGACAACCTCATTGTAAAATGTGATAGATTAAATGTTTTCTAAATTTACTTTTAACTTCAATATTTTATGATGGTATTTTCCACTCATATCTCCAAGGTTTGATGGAGTGGCTGCCTGTCTTAGTTACTTGTCTGGTTCCTGAGACAAAATGCCCAACACCCAAAGTTAAAGGAGAAAAGGTTCATTTGGCTTACAGTTCATAGAGGTTTCAGTCCACAGTCAGCTGGCTCCAAGGCAAGGTAGCATGGCAGAAGAGCATCACAGAGGATAAACAGTCCATGGCAAAGCAGAGCAGGCAGAAGGCAGCAGGCAGCATGCAAGTGGCAAGCGACAGCCCTCTTTCTGTTCCTTATATTCCATCCAGGCTCCTCCCCCAACTCCCACTTAGGGCGGGTAACACTCATACCCAGTGTGGGGTACCCTTAATCCTACCCACAACCATGCCACACCAGTCAGTGGGCTAATTTAGTAATCACACACCCTTGATTCCAGTATCACACACTTAATCTCAGCTTCATACACACTGGAGATCCAGCCACATCTGAAAATCCCCACCTTTGACAGCAAGAGGGTTTGGGGGGCATCTAGACACAAACCATAACACTGGCATATAGTAGGTATTCATTAAATATTGTTAAATGAGCCAAAGTATGACAGATATTTCTAAGACTAAGTTAAAGGAGATTGGGGAAAAGCCATTTGATCTAATAATTGGATGATTTATGAATCCCATATTTAGAAGTGGACCCCACCCACAAAGCTGGAGTCTGTGAGACTGTGGGTGATTTATACCATAATGTCTTTTCCTTTTATTTAATCAAAGTTATTTTCGTGTCAAATGTGCGAGTAGCTGGGAAGCAGAATGGAATTATGATGTTGTAATTGTTTTCAGCCATATGCAGTCCAAGAGCTCAAAGCAGTAGCAGGCGTGATGATTACTGCATCTCACAACCCCAAGGAAGACAATGGATACAAGGTAAATGTTGCAGTCCTGACCTTTGCTTATTTCATAGTTCTCATTTTGTTTCAGTAATATGTGGTACAAGCTAAACATCGGGCACAGAAAGATAAAAGCATTGAGGCTGGCCCTCACAGCATTTGTATCACTAAAGGCCCTTACTACTTCTCAACATGTACAATTACAGAGGTGCCTTCATTGGTCTTTTTACTTCTAATTGCCCTTGATTTCTCCATCCCACCCAAAATCTGTCCTGCCATTTCAGAAATACAGTTGCATTATACCAAGAATGTAAAGAATGCATGGGGAATATATAGGAACAGAGTCAAAGCAATGACACTTGATCTTATTTTCCCCTCCCTCTCACTTTCTGCCCTGGTTCCCCATTGGCCACAGGATCCATTTGCTGTGCCAGATTGTATGGCAAGAAGCAGAGTGGAGAAGGGCGAAAAGTGACTCAGGAAGTGTTACCGGGTAACTCCTTAAAGTGGCTGGTCAAATAAACATTACGGGGTTTTGGGTTACCCCCTTGTCCTTCTGGAGTTAAGAGTTCAGGTTTTTCTCATTTTGAACACAAACTGAATGCAATAAGCCCAAAGCAGTGGCAAATTTTATTTGAAAAAGTAGAAGTTCCTGGAGGTGGTGGTACACACCTGTAATCCCAGCACTCGGAAGGCTGAGACAGCAAGATTGCCATGAATTTAAGGCCAGCATGGGCTACATAGTTAGTTTAAGGCCAGCCTGAACTACACAGTGAGGCCTTCTGTCAAAAAAAAAGTAAAAGTGAAAAGTGAGGGAGAAACTGGCTCTACCGAGCAAGCTTGGGCCAAGTAAAAGAGGAAAAAGCAAGATAAAAGTACACCACGGAGAAAACAGGGCAGGCTATCATGAACATAATATGAACACAATAGCAAGCTCTTCTTGACATCTGTCCTTTTATACTGTTCAAATCTCAAGGAAACTCATGAGAACTTCTACATATGGATCCTTAGAAGCGGTGCAGGGATCCCACACCTCAGGCTGATGTTGTGTCTAGGCCATCCTATTGAAAACCTGCTTAAGTTCTTGTGAGAAGTCCACATGCAAAGCTTTGGAACTATTCTATGCATATGTTCTGGGATCTCATAATTAATTTCTTTTGTACCATATAACACAACTTTATAATGTTGAGTTTAATAATATAAAGTTTTGTGGGATATCCTGTAGTTTCTTAGATTATTTTAATATATAGTTGTAAGTCCAAGAATATGATTGGACACTATGGTATATGCATATTATAATAATGTCTGCTTATATTGTCTTGTATTGTTATTAAAAAAAATTTTTTTAGACAGAGTCTCACTCTGTAGTTCAGACTGGACTTGAACTTATGTAATTCAGGCTGGCCTCAAACTCATGGTGATCCTCCTGCCTCAGCCTCCCAAGTGCTGGGATTACAGGCATGCACCACTACCCCCACCTAAAGTAAATTCTAAAAAAAGAAATAATGTGACTTTTTGATAAATCCTCATGGAATCATTGCCATCAATATCTTTTTGTATTTATTAGTCTCATGTTGAATTTTTTTATGTGATTAACCTAATATGTTTTTTCATAAAACCAAAGATCTCTACTGTAGCTAAGAAAAGTTCTGATAAGCATTTCAATTAATTATAATTATATTTACCTGTCATCTAGGTTTATTGGGAGACTGGGGCTCAGATCACATCTCCTCATGATAAAGAAATTTTGAAATGTATAGAAGAATGCGTGGAACCCTGGAATGGTTCCTGGAATGATAATTTAGTGGACACCAGTCCATTGAAGAGAGATCCTCTGCAGGACATTTGCAAGAGATACATGGAAGATCTGAAAAAGATCTGTTTTTACAGGTATTCAAGTTGAAATATACAATAATATTGTTAGAAGTTAACAAGTGAGGGAAGAAAGTGATTTTAAAAGTGTTGTCTGTTCATTATATTTAAATTATAGCTAGATAGTATTCATAATAGCCAAAAAGTAGAAGTGACCCAAATATATATCACCTGGTGAATAGATAAATAAAATGTGATATATCCATAAAATGAACTATTATTTAGCAGTAAATTTTTAGAAATGAAGTACTGATGCATACCACAATGTGGATTAACCTTGAAAACATTACGCTAAGGAAGGAAGCTATTCACAAAGAACCACATATTGTATATGGTTCATTTATGTGAAATGTCCACAGTAGGAAAATCTGTAGAGATAAGAGGTAAACAGAAAATTTCACTAGTGGTTGCCTGTGATTGGGAAGAATCAGAGAGTTGGAGAGGGGAGCAATAGTGTGCAGTGTGTTTTTTAGGAATAATGAGAATGTTTTAAATTTGATTGTGGAAAAGGTTGAACAGCCTGTGAATATAGGGAAAGCCCCACTGAATTGTGACTTTTATAGTAAATGAACTATATTTCAATACAGCTATTAGATTATATCTAAGTATATGTAAAAATTCCTGTATATAAGATCAGGGCATTTCCTTTAAGATTTTATTTTTCCTTAACTATTCCCATAATGACTTGTTTAACTAACCCATCAATAGCTAACACTGTTGCTAGAAAGAATCACCATTTTACTGAGTGTATTTTTCCTATCCTACAAAACAGATTTTAGCTTTTTCTCTAGTTTATTTTCAAAAGTACACCCATCAAGCTGTCAGTTGTTTGCTTTTCTTCCAGAATGAGAAGTAAGCTATCAGACAATAATACTAGCTAAAGCAGAATGTATCAAGATGAATGTATAATCACACAGAGATTTCAAGTGACTTTAAATTTGATTATATTTTCCTAATGGGTTGCATCCTAAGGATAAAGAGCCACAAACCTCAAGTTGCCTATGGTAGCACTACTGTTAATAGTAATATCAATAGTTTTATAGGTAAATATGGCTATCTATATGCATACACATATATTATAAAACAAGTGTGTGGTTATCTAAAACTGTAATTTTGAATTTGAAATGTTAGTATGAACTCATGACTTACTTACTTTTCCCTAAAATACTAATTCTGTTACTAACATGTGTACCTCTAAAGCATAGGTTGTGGTTTCTGAATAACATTTTTCACTAAAGGGAACCAGAGCCCCCTGAAAAAATTAATGAATCCAAGACTAGGGCAGAAAATGTATTCCTGGGCTTTGTCTGTGTGTCTCTCTTTCTTTCACCCAGGCAAGCTCTCCCATCCCCTCTTGTTCTCCCATCTTCTCTCCTTGTCTGTCTCTCCCTCCCTCCTTCTCTGCCTCCTGCTCTCTTTTCTTCTGTCTTCTTCCCTCCTTCTTTCCCTCCCTCCTTCCATCTTAGTCTTCTTTTCCCTTTCCCTGTCCCCTCTCTGCCATAACGTAAGAAAGCTGTCAAAGATAGTGAGAGATACTTACTTGGGTCATATCAAAGGGATACAGGAATATACCTGAAGAGACTCTTGCTAACTAAACATTGGACAGTTGAGCATCAAAAAGAATAATCACTGTAATGAATTAAGACATTAAACATAAGAAGCCCATGGCTTATCATAATTCTATCAAAGTACTTCATTGATCACTGTAGGGGGTTGTTAGACTGATAATTATTCATTTTGAAATTTTATAAATGCTGAATTTTCATTTTGTAGATTGATAAATGCCTGAATCTTTCTCTTAATTTGCCCTTCCTATATGAACTGAATTTCAAAGTTAATTGAATAATTGCTGAAAGATAAATATTTTTTTAAAAAATTTAATAAATGCAGAAGGAGTAATATAATTGAAACGTGATTATATGTGATCTCTAATAAATAATGTATCTAAGCAATTATCATGAAGGGCTGTTAAGACTCAGAGGTAAAAAGATGATGGGAAATTTTATGATGGATAGATTAGGATAACAAAACACTGATGAATCTTAATTTAATACCATTAAGAGTAGGATTAGCATTCTGTGCCTCCCCTTGTGACTCAGTAGAAAACATACAATACCTATTCTTGCCTAAAGATTTGTAATTGAACCTAATCCTATTACCTTTAGATTCAATTACCCATTTATCAAAAAAAAAAGAGTTAGAGGAACATTCTAATACCAAAAGCATATAATCTGCATACCTAAAATATAGAATTCTCTAGCACAAATGGTTTCATTTCTAAGAAGGAAGGGAAAAATATTTGTAGAGTAAAAAAGAGACATCAGAGCCAAAACAACCAGATGTTATAGATCTTATTCAGGTCCCGATTCATGTAAACCATCTGTTAAAAGTGTTTCTAAAACATTTGAACACAGATAGGGTATTAGACAACATTAAGAAATTATTGCTGGATATGGTGGCCCATGCCTGTAATCTCAGCACTTGGGAGACTGAGACAGGAGGATCACGGAGAGTTCAAGACCAGCCTGGGCTACATAGGGAGTTCAAGGCCAGCCTGAATTATACAACAAGACCCTGACTCAAAAAACAAAAACAAAAAGTTATTATTAACTTTTTGACAAAGGTATTATAATTATTTTTAAATACTAAAACATTTTATGTAAAACATTATGATATCTTGAATAAATGAAATTAGATAGAATGTTGACAAATGTTGAAGCAAGGTGATGAAAATGGGTATTAAGTATTATATGTGTATTTTGAAATTTTTTCATATTTTAAAATTTTATTGTTAATTTTATATTAGTACCTTTATTACATAGAGAAGTTAGTAAATGGTAGATAAGGATGTAGAAAGTTTTGCTGTGAGCTGGGCGTGGTGGCACTTGCGTATAATCCCAGCACTTAGGAGGTTGAGGCAGGAGGATCGCTTTGAGTTCAAGGCCAGCCTAAACTGCATAGTGACACCCTGTCTCAAAAAGACAAAAATAAATAAATAAATGAATAAAATAAAAGATTCCCCCCTAATTCCCCCCTCAGAAAGAGGGGATATAGATGTGTAGCACTCCCTGTATTCAATCCCCAGTACTGCAAAAGAAAAAGATATTAAGCACTTTGGAACCTAAGATAGATGTAAAAAGAACGAATGAAGAAAGGGATTTGCAGAAAACAAGAAATACCAATTAGGAAGTTTTTGTGATGGTTCTGGTAAGAAATACAATGGAAGTTTAGTTAGGGCAATGGCACAGCATATGTAGAGAAATGATCCAGGTTAAGAAGCTGAACCACAGCTGGATGTATTCGGTGCACATCTGTAATCCCAGCTCTTGGGAGGCTGAGTCAGGAAGATCACAATTTGAGTCCTGCCTAGGCAGCTTCAGGGGTAGAATGCCCCTGAGTTTGTTTCCTAGTTCCCCCTCAGAAGGAGAAGGGGGAGAAGGGAAGAAGGGGAGGGGAAGGGGAGCAGGAGGGGGAGGGGAGGAAAGAAGGAAGAACCATATGTTGTTGAACCATAATGGGAGAATATAGTTAACTTAATCTTTTGAAATTTAAGTTTATACAGCATGGTTTTAAAAAATATCATAGAGCTATGCTGAAGACTTTAATCACTTTTTCCAGAATTTAGGTTTTTAATTGTATCACAGGTAGCATATTTTATGACATTGATTGAATAGTGATTTTATTTTGCTTTACAGGGAATTAAACTCAAAGACTCCCTTGAAATTTGTGCATACATCCTTTCACGGGGTTGGACATGACTACGTGCAGTTGGCTTTTCAAGCATTTGGTTTTAAGCCTCCAATTCCAGTACCAGAGCAAAAAGATCCTGATCCAGACTTTTCTACTGTTAAATGCCCAAATCCTGAAGAAGGAGAATCTGTGCTGGTATTTTTTTTTTTAATATTTAAACTATATTAGTTTATTAAACCATCACAATAGATAGTACTTACTTACAATTGAATTATTTACAAAAGCAGAAATGACTGTAGGTTTTATCTTTTAAATTGTATTGGTACTATAGGTTTTTGGTTGAAATTTTTGTGATGGGTATCCCTACTTCTAGGCTTATTATTTTAAATTTAGCCAAATTGTAGGCCTTTTAAAATTCATACTAACATAGTTCTTATATTGAGGAATATTAAGATTGAATTGAGGTTCTTCAGTACAATCTAGCTTTTTGGGGTCACTGTTTCAGGAACTTTCTCTGAGACTGGCAGAAAGAGAAGATGCACGGGTAGTTCTTGCCACAGATCCTGATGCAGACCGACTGGCAGTGGCAGAACTTCAAGAGAAGTAAGTGGAACCTGTTGTCTGATGAAAAGCTTGAGCTTCAAGGGGCTGCGGGTGCAGCTCAGTGGTAAAGCACCTGACTAGCGCAGCACTATAAGGCCCTGTTTGTAACCCCCAACACTGAGATAAATAGAAGCTGGAGCTTTTAAAAGCAGTTTTTTACTATAAGTCTTACAGGATTATTAAAAGTAGTAAAGGCCGGGGATATAGCTCAGCAGCACAAGCGCCTGCCTGGCAAGCACAGCATCCTGAGTTTGATTCCCGGTATCAAGAAAAAAAAAAAGCCTCACTCAAAAGTAGTAAAGATGTTAGAAAAAAAACATAGATCTTATATGAGCTTACTATTCAGAAATAATCGCCTAAGTTGATATTTCAACATTTTTTCCTTTTTCCTAATTAAATAAAGATGCATTTATTTTTATAAAACTATAATCATGTTATATGTAGTTTTATATCTTTATTGTTTTCTATTTCAGTTGTACTCTAAGCATTTTCCCTCTCCTTATTATGTTTTTTGAAAATATTAATTTTAAAAACAGCATAATATTCTAACATTACTTTATCAGTATAAATCATTTCCTAATCTTGGTCCTAGCTAATATGCTATATATTTTTGCTATTACAATGTGATGAGTGTCCTTACATAAAGATGTAAACATTTATTATAATTTTTGTCTCATTAAGTAAGAGAATAAAAGTAACATTGTAATAAGTTTTCCAAAAAACATTACAACCATTTCTACCCTTAAAGGTCATCCCTGCCAATTAGAAAAGAAGTAGTATTTTCTGAAAAGTCTCGTGTAAAATGGTTTGGTCTTCCCTATTCAAATGATGGTAACTTATATGTCTTAGGTCAAGAAGTCTTAATGGGAAGCTAGAAAGGTATTGACTGAATTTTCACTCTCTTTACAGTGGTCACTGGAAAGTTTTCACAGGGAATGAGCTGGCAGCTTTGTTTGGATGGTGGATGTTTGATTGCTGGAAAAAAAGTAAATCAACAACTGCTGATGTGAAGAATGTTTATATGTTAGCCACCACTGTCTCTTCTAAAATTTTGAAGGCAATTGCACTTGAAGAAGGATTTCATTTTGAAGTAAGGATATTATCTGTGTGGTACTTTTCTAAACCTATACATACTTATAGGCTAAACACATCTTTCTGCTCAGGCTGATTTCCATTGATTTCATTTATAATTCCCTCACTTTTCGTAATTCTGTTTATACTTGCTTACTATTTTTGATAATTTAAACACCTGAGCCAAATTCACTTCATATGTGAGTTTTGAACTGAGATATTCTTTAAAAATTACATCAACATCTGGGCATGGTGGTGCACGCCTATAATCCCAGCACTTGGGAGGCTAAAGCAGGAAGATCGCTGCGAGTTCAAGTCCAGCCAGGGCTACAAAGTGAGTTCAAAGCCATACTGAACTGCATAGTGAAATTCTATCTCAAAAAAGACAGAAAAAAAATTACATCAAAAATTACTAGTCCTTATGACAATATCTGGTTTTTAGGCTGGGAAAATCTGGCTCCTGATGACCTCATCTCCAAAAGCCTGAAGATGTCATCCCTTTGTTTAAATTTTTTAAACAAATAGGCTTCTAAATTGCAAATTAAGATCTAGTGAGTCTACATCCAAAGTCAAGTAGACTCTTAGCCCAGATAAGTAACCTCAAAGAAGCTCAGGCAGTTAAGCTGACATTTTTGCAACTACTTGGGCTAATTAATGCCAGTTAAGTTGCTTTTTCTGTCCCATCTTTGCCAGATATCACAGGGTCACTCCTGGGCATTTTTCTTGAGCTATATTCAAGCTACAGATTTTAATACTAGTTGACTGAGTAAAAGAAAGTTGTACTTGTCTTTATTAAACACAGAGTTCAATCTTAGACTCTCAAAACAAAATGTTTTGAGAAAAATGAAAGAAAACATAAGATATTAAATTTATTCAAGCCTAATAACAATAATGTCAATGTTTTCCTTATTTATATCTATAGCAAGAAAATATAAGCACAAAAGAAAAAAAACATAGTTCTTAAAAGCCAATATATTATAAAATTACTTTTTGTTGTTGATAGTACATGGCTTGGCCTTTTATTTTTATTTCTTGGTGAGGGAATAGAAAAGTAAATTAGGAAACTGCAGGGCACGTCTTTAAAATGAATAGTAGTTCATCAAATGAAAAATCCTCACATCTAATTACTAAGAAAGGCCTGAGTAACTATTTTGGTGGCATTAGGCCACAATGTTTTGGAAAGGTTCACTTGGTTCAAGCATCACCAAAAACATAGTGGCTTTTGATTACCTGAGGAGACTAGATCATAGGCAGTTTAAATTAGTGGTTATAATATAGTTTAAAGAACAGTTTTGAGAAGCAGTGTAATTGAACCCTGCCTCCAACTCTTACACACAGCACCTTGGGCAAATTTACTTCAACCCTGAGCCACTGTTTTGGCAACAGTTTGTGAGTATTAGAAAAGATGATGTAAAGCACCTGTTATAGTACTTCAGCCATAATAGATGATAAGTAGTAGGTCATCAACAGTGCCAGTGTGTGAATTTACAGCACTTTATTACTGATTGCTCTGTCATTATACACCCTTTGTGGACCAAAGATCAAAACAGAAGATCATTACATGATTGTTATATGCCTTTAGTGATAAGTTTTTCTCTAACACATGGTTATGACAGAGTGGCTTCCTCTGCATTTCAGGAAACATTACCAGGTTTTAAATGGATTGGAAGTAGGATAAAAAACCTCCTGGAAAATGGGAAAGAGGTCCTGTTTGCATTCGAAGAGTCTATTGGTATGTAGTACATATTAAATTTTTTAAAATTTAATTGAGAGCATTTTTTAGGTTTTCTATTTTGAGTTGTAAAAACTGCAGAGAACTCAGAAATATGTAGTGCATTTCTCATCAAAAAGAAAAAGAACCTATAGGCTTCCTGAATATGTTCAGTATTGATGGGTTTCATCTACTTCTAGGCTCTTATATTCATTTGTTCTTCTGAGTAAATATAAAACTTCTAAAATTGTAGGCCTAGATTTTTCCCTTTTCTAAAGAGACTTTTTAATCCTCAGGTTTTCTGTGTGGAACTTCAGTGTTGGACAAAGACGGAGTGAGTGCAGCTGTTGTTGTTGCTGAGATGGCATCTTATCTGGAAACCATGAATGTAACGCTGAATGAGCAACTGATGAAGGTTTATGAAAAGTAAGTTCTACTATATACATACTCGATCAATCTTTTTTGTTGTTGTTGTTTTGTTTTGGTCTTACCCTTAGTTTTCTACATTTATTTTTTGACAATTAGTTCATCTTTTTTTAAAAAAAGGTATTAAATTGAATTAGGGACTACCATTTTCTACAAAATATTGTAAAATTGGCTTTCTAAAGAGTTATCTGAAGTCTGACTTTAGCACTTTAAATCTTTGTGCAGATATGGTTACCATATGTCAAAAACTTCATATTTCTTATGTTATGATCCACCCACGATCAAAAATATATTTGAAAGGCTTCGCAATTTTGGTTCTCCAAAGGAATATCCAAAATTTTGTGAAGCATTTGCTATACTGCATATACGGGATGTTACCACTGGATATGACACCAGCCAGCCTAATAAGAAATCAGTAAGTACCTATTGTTTTTTCAAAGAATGAAGAAAATTTAATGGCCAAAAACCTAGAGGTAGGACAGGTTTCATTTGAGGCTCAATCCAATTTCCTTGTGTTTACTAGTTTATTATAAAGGTTATAATTTAGGAACAACCAGAAGAAAGAAATGTATAGGTAAAGGTAGTAGGTGTGAGGGAAGAGTAGGAACTTCCATGCCCATGTGTTCTAGATTTTGGCAGTAATATTGACTTCACAGGATTGTTGAAGCCCAGAGGTGATGAATGTATGTAATCCAATGCCTGGATTATTATAAGGGTTCAAATATGTGATATGTTTATAAATTATTATAGGTAATCTTTATGTTTCATAATTTTTATAATCTAAATAAAATTTTTGTTTATTTTTTGGTGCTGGGAATTGAACCCAGGGCCTTTGCACTGAACTATCTGTAGCCCTTTTAAATTTATTTTATTTTGAGATAGAGCTCACTAAGTTTCCCAGGCTGAGCCCAAAGTTATGATGCTCCATCCTCAGCCTCCAGTAGTGCTGGGATAATATATGATGCCACCACACTTGCCTTACCATAAGTTTTTATTGTGGTTAAAAACATATAATTTACTGTTTTATCCATTTTTAAGTGTACAGTTCACTAGTGATAAATATATTCATATTGTACAGCAGATCTTTTAAGCTTTTTCATTTCACTAAACTGAACTTTTTTACTCATATTAAACAACCACTTCCAATTCCCATCCCCCTAAACCCTGGCAACCACTATTCCAATTTCTATTTCTATTTCTATGAATTAGACTACTCAGATACCTCAGAGAAGTAGACTATATATTTTACATTTCTGAAAAAATGAGTACAATGCCATGTGTAATTAAGCTGTTATTATAATTTTGCATAGGTGCTGCCTGTGAGTAAAAATAGCCAAATGATTACATTTACTTTTCAAAATGGTTGTGTTGCTACTCTTCGGACAAGTGGGACAGAACCAAAGATAAAGTATTATGCAGAGATGTGTGCACCACCTGACCAAAGGTAAGAGCAGATTTATATATATATTTATAAATATTATAATTTATAAATATATGTGATATAAATTTATAAATATATATTATTTATATATTTTTTATATATGCTATGCTTATATATAACTCACATAAGATACAATTCACTCATTTAAAATGTACAATACATTGGTTTTCAATACCTAGTTTGTATAGCCATCACTACAATCAATTTTTAACATTTTTGTCACCCCAAAACAAGTCCATACCCATTAGAAAGCATTTCCCATCTCCTTCAAAGCATTAAGTAACCACTAGTATACTATCTTTCTTTGTAGATTTGTTTATTCTAGACATTTCTTATAAATATATCATATGATGTATAGTCCTTTGTAACTGGCATAGTTTACTTAGCATAATGTTTTTTATATTCATTTCTGCTTCATTCTTTTTTTAAAATTTTATCTTTATTGTCTCAAAATATTCCATTGCATGGATATACCATCCTTTTAATCTATTTATCCGTCAGTGGACATTCAGATTATTTACATTTTTTGGTTTTTACATTATGAACATTTGTGAAGAAGTATTTATGTGTGGACATATATGTTTTCATTTTTTAGATAAATAGCTATAGATACATATCTAGGAGTGGAATTGCTGGGCCATATAATAACTCATATGATAAAATGTTTAACTTTTCGAGGTCCTTCCAGATTATTTCCAAAGAAGCTGCATCAATTGGAAATTAAATTTCTATTCTTGAAAAGACTTACTGAGCTTGAACTATTTATTATATGATGAGCATAAAGAAATAAACAGCAGCTGGACTGGAAATGCCGCTCAGTGCTAGAGCACTTACTTAGTGTTCCTGAGGTTCTGGGTTTGATCCTCAGCACTGAAGAAATGACTAGCAATGATTTGTGTTTATTGCCAAATATTTCTTTTCTGTGTCTAATATAGTTTGACATAATCTTTTTAGTTTATTTCTTGAGTATAAATTGTGACAAAGTTAATTCATCACAAATTATTAATATGTTTATTAAACATGTCCAAAGGCTAGTTATACTTACTAAAAGTAGCACCTACTATAATGTTATCTTTCACCAGTATATTTTTGTGAAGAAGTTTTATTGTGTTTTATGGGATTTTTGGGTTTTTTGAATTTTTGGTCTTGTTTTGTTTTGTTTTGTTGTAGCATTAGGATTTGAACCCCTGGGCCTTCACCCTGAACTACATCCTTATCCTATCTTTTATTTTGAGATAGGTCCTCACTAAGTTGCTAAATTGCCCGGTCTGGGCTCAAATTTGTGATCTTCCTACTTCAGCCTCCCAAAGTGCTGAGATTACAGGCATGTACCACCATTCCCAGTGGGAAAGAAATTTCTTGAAATTGCTTTCAGAGCCCAACCAGAACATATTATTTTGCATGTCCTCATCTATTTACATTAAGATTTTGTTTATAGTAGGGGAAAAAAAGACCTAAAGTTATATAGAGTCAACTTTCAAGTTAAGCAAGTTCAATAATGCTACATTTGGCTTAAAACAAAAGATGATTATTAAAGTAATAAGAACTAATTTGTTTTGTAACTGATAAAATGACCTATAGGCAATCTAAAAGAGACTTTCGGAGAGGTATTTTGCACAATTAGCAGTAACTCAGTGGTGATCTTGAACGGCTTACTTGAAGTTATTTTTTTAATATTTCATTCTTTTAACCACCCCTTCTACTACTACCTGAAAGGTACGTCACATTATCCCATGACATCAGTATTGAATATCCTTCAAAATTTCAGGAAGCCTTTTTGTCATAGTGAACACAGCTATCATTGTACAAACCAAGCCCATTGTCTCAAAAAGGCAAAGAAAGAAATCACAGACAAAAAGGAGTTTAAGGGAGAAATAGTTACTGGAAATGTAAGAAGAACAAAAAGCGCACCTGGTAGCTGGGAGGGTCCCAGAAAGTGGAGTGCCACGTGACCCCTCAGTCTAGAGCTTGTTATAAAAAAGCGGAGCACAGGAATTGCTCATTTGCCTGGTGACTATTATACATGCTCTAGGTTTAAAATGACCATTTGGAACACAATCTCTCTAAACTAGTTACTCAGCATACAGAGTTTAAAGGAAACCAATTTTAAAAGAAAACTGGTTATTCTGCATTTTTAAGTTCCTCCAAAGTTGGCCCTTAATGTAGGGAGGGATTGCATTCCCTGTTGCCTGAGGAACTCCTTTCTTGGTCAAAAGTTCTAGTTTCACTGCCTATTTTTATTTTAACAGCATGGCTGACCACCCAATTCTATCTCAGCCCCTTTCTGTAGCTAACTGCTTATTCCTAAGCTAACTAACTAAGCTGTCTTTTATAGTAATGCCTCAGTAGGATGTCGAAATCTTATTGCCTGACTTAGGAGAATACTTTCGCTGTGCTATAATTCATTCCTTATCATGTGCCAGGAAAGTCCTGTTAATGTAGTTCAGTTTGTCTATGACAGTGTTTTCTGTGCATGTAATGTTTGAGTGTCTTATTTTGTTTGATTGAGTGTATTTCTCTTTTGTTTATTAATTATTTGATCATCCAAATTTAAACAAATGTTAAGGCTGTGAAAGTAAAGAATTTAAAACTTCTCAATCTTTTTCCTTAGTGACATTGCCCTTCTGGAAGAAGAATTAAAGAAACTCATTGAAGCTCTGATAGAGAATTTTCTAGAGCCCAGCAAGAATGGACTGACCTGGCGTTCTGTGTAGGGCTCATCAGTGCATTATGACTTTGTCCTGGCACATGGAGCAGAACCACCAAGGATTCCATCCACTGAACCTCCTGTTAGCATTCTCTGTCTCATTTGGCCAAGTATCTTTTTCCTTTCCTCTTCTCTCCTTTTTCTCTTTTCTTTTTGTTCAGCTGACTAAAGAAACTATATAAATTTGAAATGTAAATGGAGGGAATGATTCAGATTTTTTAATACTCTTGAAAGTCATTACATTAAAAGTGTTCTGGTAACACATCATTCTTCCTTTAACACAGACATAACAACAACAAAAGTGAATTGTCTTACTGAAGTGTGGTGGATTAAGCTTAGTAATCCGTATCTTGTACTTGTGTATAGCATGGTTTTTTAAAAAGGCAAATAAATGTGATATAATTATAGGATTAGTTAAGGAAATGAATCCATAAAAATGGAAAGAAAAGGTAATGTTTTACATCATTATGGAAAAGTGTCAGTTATATCATAGGTATTGATTTACAAATTAAAGTATTTGTAATAGGGTATTTAGCATTTCTAGTTTAGTACAGATGTTACAATATGTGGTTTCGTATCTGTTTCTGGTGCCCCTGGTGCAATGTAAATTTACTTTATGTATTTAAAACTCTGACATTTACTGAACAGAAAACAATAGTGGCAACACTCTTAGTGACTTTGTTCTTGTCAGATTTCTTAGTGCCTTCTCAAGTCTGGTGTGAACTTAAACAGTGTTCTTACATTGGTACAATTTTATCAATTTCCAGATAGTTACAGAAAATCTTCCAAACTGTACAAGTGCTTCCTCTGTATCAAGTGAGTTTGTTGATTTTAAAATACTATGCTTATAAAAAAATGATCTGAATAAAAGCAGGTTTAATGTAACGATAGTTAAATATCTTCAGGTTAGGTTTGTGTCAGTTATCCTAACCTTTATATAAAGAAAAAAATCTGAATTAGTAAGTGAGCTCTGAACTTATTTGACAGTCCTAACTTTGGACTAACATTTTTGAGAGCACATTTATTCCTTTATCTGATGAAGTAATTTTAATGAAGCATCCAGATTTTAAATACTAAGAAACACTAAAACTACTGTTTTAAGTCTAAGGCCCAAGTTATTCTAACATTTTGCTGGCTTCTGTAGAATTTCTAATCGCATAAGTATTCTTTATCTGTTTTTAATATGGAAAAAAATGTTTAGGAAACTCACTTTTGGTTGATTTTATAGTCTTTTTAAAAGATTTAACAATAAACTGCTGTTTAATCTTTGTAAAGTCTATCTTCGCCTGTCCAGTCTGCAAAATACACATGTATAACTATGGGTAACAAAAACAAGGTCTTGGGTGTAAGCACCTAAACAATTTTCCCATAGGAACAGTACTGGTATTGGCGAATTTGTTTCCTTAAAAATTAGTAATAGTAGTGTAAAGTCTGAATGGATTAGGATGTTGATTAAATCACAGTTTGATTTGTTTTAGCTATCAGGTGACTTTGCTTGACTGCATATAATTTAAACATAATTTTCAAATTATTGCATTGCCACTATTGTTAATTTGTTCTTTCCTTTAGATCTTGTATGATTGCAGATAATAGCTAGCTAAATATAGAGCACCATTCTTTCCTGAATGAATTTGTTTTCAGAAGTTTTGCACTGGAGAAGAAATGTGTAGAATGTTTTGTTTTATTTAAAAATGTGTAAAATACTTTCTGTTTTGTTAGCTCTTAGGAATGTAGACTGTAATATAGGAAAAGGCATTTATTCTACAAAGTGGTAAGAACAATGTTATATATGTATAAAGAACATTGTATTTCATTTTAGTGTCTGTGTTTCTGTGACCAAAGAACAAAATGAGGCTAACTACACAGTAGCCTATTCATAATCACTAAAACCGTGTCGTGATTGTCATTCTCTTATGAGGAGAACAGTTTTATTTGAGTGCTTTAATATAATGCAACATGGAAACCATCTTAAGTTGAAGAGTCTTTGAAGTTTGGATTCTTCTCTAGAAAATATTAAAGTCTAAAGTTGAAATTAACAAAATTTTATAAAGGCTTCTGAAGTATATAGATTGAGAACACTATTTGATTCTACCCAAACTCTTGAGTCTATCCAAGCATGATATTTAACGTGAACCTGACAGAGTGGATACACACTGCTATTCGTATAATTCATTGACAGCCCCTCAGGCAGAGTGCTGACCTATGGATCTCAGTTGCAGGCACTGTATTGTTCATCTTTTTCTTTTTGAACAGTCTCAGAAATGTGTGCTTTTTCATTGAACATGTAAATAAAAACTTTTCCACAGGGGAAAAGAAAAGAATGGAGCAAGAGCAAAGCATAAATTGCAGGTAAATAGTAAAAATAGACAATGTAAAGGCCAATAAGACAGCACAAAAAAATATTTCTTGTGAAGAACAAACCTAGCACCACAATAATAGGGAATAAACTGTGGGCAAGGTTGTTTACTTGTGTTTATTTCTTGCTATAATGAGCAGACAGTGAACCTATCATTTTCTTTTATTAGAGATCACTAAAAACAACCCAGTTTTAGGAAGTGAAATAAGTGTTTCTATTACAGATTAAATTGCCGCTAGGATGTTGTCCCTTGTATTCAGAATCATGTGAGAACTCAGGAGGAGAGTAAGCAGAAATTAAAAGGAATAAAATATAGATTAGAAAACAAAGACCTGAGAAAAATTGAAAGAGTTATGATCATTAACTCTAGAAAGGAGAAAGCTGTTGAGATCATTTACCAAGTCATAAGTTACTCACTGAGGCTTTAATTGAAGGACTCAAGTACAAATGCCATACTGCTTCCCCTTTTCTAGGGAGGAGGACAGATCAGAGGGAAAAGGGATTTTTTAAGAAGGCAGCATGAAATGTTTAAGATTTAAGAACTTCTTGAGCAGAGTTTCTCATAAAGTCTCCCATTTGAAATTTTTTGTTTAAGGGAATAAAAATTTTTTAATGTTAAAGGATATACTAAATGGCTTCCTAAAAGATCTTTACTTGCAACACATTTTTTTTTTTAAATTTAGATTGGAACAAAAACATCATGTTGTAAAAAACACTGATAGTAATATTTGTATTTCATTCCTTAGCTATAGAAATTTGGCAGGGTCAGGGATATAACTCAATGGCACAAGTGCCTGCCTGGCAAGCACAAGGTCCTAAGTTTGATTCCCAGTGCCCAACAAAAAAAAAAAGAATTTAGCTCACAAAATAATTTTTGTATATTTTGAGTAGTAGATGCATGAGTGCAATAAATAAAGACCTGCTTGGATGTTATTTTTTAGTTGACCTTGAGAATTAAGTAAGACTTGAACACAGTTCAGTTCCTCTTAAAGAATGTATAGCATTATAGGATATTTGAGGGATTTGTTTTAAATGTAAAGTATTGTTATTTGGATATAGTAACTTCAGCAAAGAGGTTCTCAGAGATTGTATACTTCATGATATCTGCATACTGATATAACAGACATGTTAACAGGAATCTAAAGGAGAAATTGTTCTATGAACTGCTGCTATTGATATTTTTTCCAGGCGTTTTGCACTGTTTGTAATGCTTGAAAAAAACCAAATTCTGCTTAGATACATTTAATTTTTCTCTCTACCTTCCTGTTTCCTTAGGCACTCTTCTACAATTTTTAACTGTGAAAAACTACTACCCTGTTATCTCACTGATAAGAAGTCTTAACTATATTCATTCAAAAATGCTTTAAACTTACTTCTAAACTGCTTGTTTATGGACTTTTTATTATTGTCAGAATATTTAAAACTTCTTGTAAGAAGTAATTTTAAATCTGTTTCATAATCTGTTTTTGGTCTGTCTGATACTGTTTATGTGAATTTAATGTAGCCCTGTAAGTTCACTTGTTTTCTGAACTTGCTGTAGAAATTGATGAAACAATCATACCAAAATGGTTAGTTGACCTAACACTTTATATGATCATTCCTTATACTTTGGAGAGCCAAAGCACAAAATTTCCTCGAATCTTTTCACATATTTCTCTGCCAGCATTTTATCCTAAGCCATAAGAAGTCTAAATAAAACGGAGAAAATGGCTCATTTTCTGACTCTTTACAAACCATAGTTTTAATTCCAGTGGGAAACAAAATTAGTGTTGCATATTGGTTATTTTCAAATATTTACTATACTGTTACATTCACCAAGTCATCTTTCCTCTTTGTTAATTCAAGACTATGTCCTTTACTAAGGAAACCTACAAGAATGAGTGACAGGATCAAGGTAGGGACAAAGTGACATACCCAGAGTTTGCTTCTCAATTCTTCTCCACCGGCAGACCCCCGAAGCAGAGGAGCCTGCAGGGGAAGGAGGCCTGAGAGCAAACTCAGAAGCAGCCTGCCACTGACAAAATTTTGTATTCTGACTTCATATTGTAAGTAAATTTTGAACTGTCCTTAAGAAAACTTCTAACATAGAAATATTATCTTCAAAAAAAAATAAAGAAATGATGTCTTCAATCTTCACTCAAAATGGCGCTGCCAGAAAGGAGCGCTGTGTTTATCATGTGGCCTGTCACTGTTCCCTCGTAACTTGCACTGCTCAGTCGCTGCAGGTCCCTGGGGGATGTGCACACACTGACTTCAGTGTGAGACAATGAGCGTAGCATATATCGAGGCTATTCCCTGCACTTTAGAAACTGATCTTCTAAATTACTAATACTAAATTAAACTGACCTGAAACAGTTATGTTACCGTTGAACCTTATTATTTAGTCTGAGATGCTGGCCAGTTTGTTCACTTTCACTTGTTGGCATTCCTTGACTAAGAAGGACACCTATCAATTCCTGCTACCTAAGAGAGAGAGAGAAAGAAAAGAGCAGCCATTTGTCTGTCAGCTCCCTGTGACCAAGAAGCATGATTTGTAATTTTTCATATCCATATATCTAATGTTGTACCAGATATACAGTATTTAATTTATTTTAATAGGACTTAAGGGATTTGTTTTAAGGAAGCAAATAGCTTTTTAAAATTAAAAAAATTAATTTTTCTCATTCGGTTTTTTACTCTCATTACTGAAATTTATAAGTAATACTCAGTTTCTGTAGGGAGAGCAGAGCATCTTTCTGCATGGAAGTTGTATGTAATGCCTAGTATTTTACATCCAAAGCAAGCTGCTGGCCAGAAAGACAAAGCAAGAGTCCATGCAGATTTGATGGATCGCTAGTCTCGGTGTGATTTTGAGCTTACTAATAGTACCTTCCAAGTGAGTTATAATAATTTATACTATTTGCTCTGTTTTTGCCCAATGTTATGATTCATCACGTGTCTTTATATTAAAAAGCAAGTCTGCTTCTGTATATGGTGAGGCCTTCTTCCTGTTACGGGCTGGAATAAACTCTTAGTATACATCATTAAATAAGCTAGATCAAATATATAGTTAAGAATTAATTATTTTTCTAAGTGTGTAGCAGTAGTTCAAAATCATACTCTTATTTTAACAGTTTTTGTCAACTTCCCATTTTTTTCTCTACAAAAATACCAGGGTAAATTATAAACTACTGCCTGTGAGAATTTGCACTTTATGTATTTGTGTGTGGATTTCTTGTGGTTTTAGTCAAATAAAGTGTTATCAGTAATAAACAGGTCTCTTTATTGGCATGAGTTTCTGTGTAATTTTTATTATCTTAGATACTGTGTAGTTCATAAAGTTTCAGTTTACCCAAACTGAAAATGTATTTTAAATATGCATGATATATCCTATGATGTACTTAGAGTTTAAGTAAATATTCTGGCTCAGCACTCAGTAAATTATTTCTTGATCAATTCATCACAAATTCCTTAAGTAGGGGCTGGGAATGTAATTCAGTGGTAGAGCACTTAGCATGTGTGAAGCCCTGGATTTGATCACCATTACCACAAAGAAAAAATTTCTTTCAGTCTTTTTAGTTTTCTCTCCTTCAGTTGACCTAATTTGTTTGTTCAAGTTAGCACTAACACCCACAATAAGAGAGGAAAGTTAAAGGTTTGGAAATCTCTGAAAGAAGTAGTGATAGGTCTGTGATACAATGGTGGTGGTAGAGTGAGATTTTCTCAAGGATCAGCATGACTGTAGTCCTGGTCTCCAGCACCTGTCTGTCCCTTAATAAGACTCAAAGGGAAGCCGGACGTGGTGCACACACTTGTAATCCCAGCACTTGGGACGCTGAGGACGCAGGAGGATCGTAGCAAGTTTGAGACCAGCCTGGGCTATAAAGTGAGCTCAAGGCCAGCCTGAACTGCATAGTGAGACCCTGTCAAAAAAAAAAAAAAAAAGACTCAAAGGGAAGATAAGTGAGAAAAGTTTTGCACAGGGTCCTATCACGTTCTAAACTGAATATTCTGAGACACATACTGACCCATCCTTTCCCCTGCCCTCTCTTTTATTCTGTATGCCATGAAAACAAGTGAACAAATAAATTCAAATAGTAGTATCAGTGGCCTACAAAGTGGCAGGGAAGGAAGGGTACATGATATGCAAATAAAGCCTACTCACTGAGAGGAAATAGGTCTCTGAGTGCAGAATGAGAAGCTAAGACCCTGAGACTTACTCGCTAATGTCCAGCCCCACTCCAGATAGCCTCAGGCTAACCATGGAAAACTGAACTGGGGGAGATCAGAAGACTGATTCCTCTGTGATCAGGGAGTGAGGACAGGAAAAAAAATGGAGGCATAATTGGATCTAATGAGATTTTTTTTCAGTTTTTCACCCTTTCCACTTGTACATGCCTCCCCCTTGTGGGCAAGAAACTCAGAATCTGTCTTCACATAGGAGCCCAAATTCACTCACAACATTTTTGTGTATGGTTAGGTAAGTCTAAGAGTCAGGTCAGAATCTACCTGAAGTCCACAGAGTGGATTCCTGGCATACCCAAGGCATCTTCTTCCCACTCTGCTGCTCACTCCCTTACAACCTAAAGATGCTATTGAAATTCATTCAAGATATTTTAGTCTTCCTGCCAGATGGGACCCTCTCTACATCTACACAGAATACTAAGGCCCAGAGAGGAAAAGAGATTTCCCAGCCGTCAGAGAGGAGGCCAGAACCTAACTTGTTGATCCTCAGGTCTCTTTCTCCTTGTATGTAAATATTATTAACCACCTGGGAGCAAAACAGTGAATTAGAAGTTAAGATATAACCCACAGCTCAAGAAGACAAACACACTTATGGGGCAGGAGAAGGAGTCTAGTAGAGGTAAGTATAAAATGATGCGGGAGGACAGAGGAAGGGGAAACTACTGGGCAAAGCCCTGGAGAGCACGAAAAGAAGGCAGGAAGTGTTTCAGGGAGGCTGGCATACGATTTCCAATCTCAGCCCATATAGCTCTTCTAAATTTATACTCTGATTGAAATGCCCCAAAAGCTCCAAGTGTGTATTTTTAGGCTGATCTTTCTTCCCAAGATTCAGAGCTAGACATACAACAGCTTGCAAGTCATCTCTATCTGTGCATCCCATAAGCACTTCAAACCTAAGCTGTGCAGTCCTAACCTTTTCTTTCTCACTGTCAATATCCCCTGCTCAGGCCACCACACTTGTGGCACCACACTTGTTCATTATTGTGGCCTGTCGGGGTGAGCCATCATTCATCATCTCCCCCGTCACTCCTCAGCTGATGATATTGCAAATTTTGCTTCCTAAATGTGTGAAAATTTCTTTTTGATGCAGCAGAAGTGAGGTTTTTAAGACAATAAAATACAGTCATATGACACTAGGATAATGGAGCCACCCTTGAGTTTTGGAGGAGTGGTGCGCCATCTAGATCTGTCCAGCCCTGGCTGTGGCTTGGTACCACTCCTAAAAAAAATTTCTGGTTGTGAGCCTGGCTGGAACTTTGGGGACCAGTAAAGATTTCTGGGACTTGTTTAGCTAGTTGACTTTTAATTGTGGCAAAGGAGAAAACTGGGGATGTTGGGAAGCCCAGAGTTGGAACTGTTTGTGATTTTTTCCCACTGTTCCCTGCCTCCCCCTTTAGTACAGCCATGATTGGTATATAAAACCCATGTTCCCTTTCTTTCTTTCTTTCTTTCTTTCTATTTCTTTCTTTTTCTTTTTCTTTCTTTCTTCCTTTCTTTCTTTCTCTTTCCTTCCTTCGTTCCTTCGTTCCTTCCTTCCTTCCTCAGAATGGTTAAAAATAAAGATTGGATGTTGGAGAGCCTTTACTCAAATCCTTCCTCCTCCATGCAAACCACTTACTAGCTATGAGATCTTGAACAGTGTGATACCCTCTAAGAGGACCCCCAAAGATTCCCCCCTGGCAGAAGTGATGGCTGGCCACTTCAGAAATTAGGATATAAAAGACAATGCAGTTTCCATCTTGATTGCCCTTTCTGTATCATTTTCTCTGGGTGAAGCCAGAAGTCCTGTGGATAGTCTCATGTAAGGAACTGAGGCCTCTTGCCAATAACCATGTGGGTGAATTTAGAAGCCCTGGCTTGTTCTGTAGGTTAGGAAGCTGGATGCAGCTTGGCTGGTGGTTCTGGCTCAGAGTCTCCTACAAGGTTGCAGTCAGATGTCAGCAAGGGATGCAGTCCTAAGAAGATGTGACTAGGGCTGAGGGATTTGCTTTCCAGATGGCTCACTTGTGTGGAATAGCAAGAGGCCTCAGTTCCTCATCCCATGGGCCTCTCCATAGGGTTGCTTGAGTGTCATAACAGAGCAGCTGATTTCCCACAGAGTGAGTGAGCCAAAGAACAAGGCAAAAGCTACAGTGTCTTCTATGTCCTAGCCTTGGAAGTCAGACACTGTCATTTCTGTACAATTCTGATTACATAACCCTGCTGCTATGGGAGAGAAATTATGTGAGGTACAAATATCGGGAGATGGAGGGGTCAATCGGGCCATTGTAGAGACTAGCTACCGCAGAGAGAAAGATTAACCAATTTTACACATGTTAAATTGAACATACCTAAAAGACATTTGTCTTAGTTACTTTTGTCATTGCTGAGATAAAGTAGCTGACACCTATAGTTAAGGAAGGAAAGATTTATTTAGCTCACAGTTTAAGGTTTCAGTCCATAATCGGCTGACTCCAAGGCAAGGTGGCACAGAGCAGAGGGGCAACTGTTCATGGTGGTAGAAGACAGCAAAAGCAACAAGAGCAAAAGGGGGAAATAAGCCTCTTTCTGCCCCTTTTATCTTATTCAGACTGCCGGGATTAGGGCAGTGTCAATCCAATCAGCGTACTGATCCAGCAATCACCCAGCCTTAATCCCAGAAACTTTCATCCCAGCATTGAACTACAAATCACTTACACATTCTAGATTCAGCTGCCTCCGAAAAGCCCGCCCCTCCCCCCACAATCACATGAGGCTTTGGGAGGCCATCCAGACACAAACCATAACAACATTCAAGTGCAGATGTCAAGTAATGGAAATATGAGTCTGGAGCTTGGAAAAGAAATCTGAGCTAGAGATATTAATTTGGAAGTTATCAACATACAGAAATATTTAAAGCCATGGAAATGAGAGTATGGAGGAAAGAGACTTCGACTTCTAGGACTCCAGCATTTACTTTCCATTTGAAAATTATACTCTCATTTTTTATAATGAAAGCTTTAAAATAAAATCAGAGGGAAGGATACCATGGGTATACCCATGTACCCACAATTTAGGTCAATAAATGTCAGCACCCTTTCTCATTTGTCCAGTATATCTTCCTTTCCTTTCAAACCCTTCCTATCCAATCCTTTGCCTTGACTCTCCTATATTAGATTTCTTTTAATTGGTTAGCTTTTGCTGGATAACAAACTAACCCAAGTAAAACAGCAAGTATTTATACAGTTCATAATTCTGCAAGTCAACAACTTGTGTCAAGTTCAGCTAACTCTTAGCTGGGCTCATTTATGGGTCTGATGTCATCTGGTAAATTGGTTGGATGCTGAGTAATCTATAATAGCTTCCACTGGAATGATGCATATCTGTTCCATGTAGTCCACTGTCCTCCAGCAAACTAGTTCAGTTTTGTGCAAATGAGCGGCTGGATGGAAGTACAAGAGAAAGAGACAACATATGCAAGACATCTTCAGGAAATACGTGCAAGATAAATAGCACTCCTCCCACCCTTCTACTGTATTCTATTGGCCAAAATGTCACAAGTCTAGTACAGATTTTAGGGAAGGAAAATAGTCAACATATCTTGATAGCAGTGATTACAAAGTCACAGCTCAAAGAGAGTGGACTCAAGGACAGTCAGTTGAAAGATTGTGACCATTTCTGTAATCTAAAAAACTTCCCTCTTTGAACATAATTATTCAAATTGCTTCCATGGAAAAAATATGTCTACTACCATTCCAGGACCCAAAAATTTTCTTGCAATTCTGTCATCAAAGCTTGAGGCCTAACCCAACTTCATAAAACAAACACTACTGGCCATAAAAGATGAGATAAATTATTATAGGAGGTCAAAATAACCCACTATCACAAATAGATCAGCTAGACAAAAAAAAATCAACAAAGAAATACAAGAGTTGAATAAAGCCTTCACACACACAGACTTAATAGATATCTGTAGAGGGTTCCATCCCACAATAGAATACACATTCGTTTCAGCAGCATGTGCAACTTTCTCCAAAAAAGACCACATATTAGCCAAAAAACAAGTTTAAATAAATGTTAAAGAATTGAAA